AAAAAAAAAAAAAAAAAATCACCGAAGCTGAACACCGCCTCTCACAACAATGCTAGCTGGTCCACTGATGCTGATGGGTTCCTCGAACACTCCACCTAGCAAGGGAAGCCTGTGCTACACGGGCCCTGCCCTCCAAAAGATAATTCTGGGTTTTGGGGGCGGTCTCCCCTGGTAGAACTGACATGGCTTTCAGAGCAGCGTGGGTGGACGGCTGGACCTAGATGCACTGCCCCATTTCTACTTCCTGTGTGTTCCTCAAGGGGCTTCAGTGCTAAGAATGGCTGGGAGGAGTGGGAGCCTGGCCTGCTGAGGGGCTGGAGGTCCTGGGGGAGAAATCTGGGTCCTGTTAGTGATGGCTGTCGGGGCGGAGGCTGTCAGAGCCCAAAGGAGATAAAGGCAGCTATGCACAGCAGAGCCGGCAGACTCTGCTCCCGCCTCCCTCCAGAGGCTGCATGGGGCAGGAAGCCCAACTGTCTCTGTCTAGCTTGCTTCCTGTCTCTTTGATGCAAAGCTGCCTGCCGGGACCAGAGAGGGTGAACGCGCTGAGAGAGCGGCACAGCTCAACCCCCCGCCACTCAGGGCCCAGACTGCCGGGCCATCCGTCTGTGGGGTTCATGCAGTGTTCAGCTCTGTTAGGGGTTGGGCTCTGGTTTGTGGATGGAGACGATTCTTGGTGGAGGCTCAGCCTGTGTGTGGTTTGGCTGTGGTGGGGGCCGGGAAAGGCCAGGTGGGAACATGTCCCCTCCACACCAGCAGGTTCTCCCGCCAGCAGGGCCATTCCAGCAGGCCGCTGGAACTTGTTCTCAGAGTACCAGACAGGCAGCCCGGCTGCCTCCTGGCCCCAGGCATAGGGGTGCAGGGGGCAGCCTCGTGGGCCACTTCTGCCTGTCTCCCGACTTGCTGCTGTTGTAAAAAGTGCATGTGTATGACATCTTGCTCACGGCTCGGCCCTCACCACGACCTGCGTGGGTTTGGGGGTGTGAGGCCAGCAAGCCCACTTTGGGCACGACCCGTGACCTCTGAGAACGAGAGTCACGGTTCCTTGGGCAGATCCCACGGGGTACCGCCTGAGGCTCGCCTGGCTCGGGGTGTGGTGGTCAGCGGTACGTCACTAGGAACGTTGGGGACAATCAGAGACTATGAAAGTGTTAGCTAAAATCCCTCCAGTCCCACCCAGAGAAACCACCATCAGCAGCTTAGTGTATTTCTGCTGTCTTGGTTCCATAATCTATCTATTTTATTTTATTTTATTTTTTTGAGTTGGAGTAGCACTCAGTTGCCCAGACTGCAGTGCAGTGGCCGCTCCCGGCCACCGCAGCCTTGACCTGCTGGGCTCAGGCAATCCTTCCGCCTCAGCCTTCCAAGGAGCTGGAACTACAGGCGCGCGCTACCACGCCCAGCTAATTTTTTGATTTCTTGTAGAGATGAGGTCTCACAAGATTAGTTGCCCAGGCAGGTCTCGAACCCACGGACTCAGGCAATCCACTCACCTCAGCCTCCCAAAGCATGGGATTACAGGCTGAGCCACCGAGCCCAGCTATCTATCTATTTTAAAACAAAATCAGGGTCTCCCTATATCATCTGTACACACTGCTCTATTTTCTGAGACTGTTGGAATTTTTACTTTTTAAAATCTTTATGTATCTATGTTTTTTTTTGAGTCTGGGTCTCACTCTGTCACCCAGGCTGGAGAGGAGTGGTATGCTCATGGCTCACCACAGCCTTGAAAATCCCGGGCTTAGCCGTTCCTCCGGCCTCTGCCTCCCAAGTAGCTGAGACTACAGGCATGCACCGCCATGCCCAGCTAATTTTTTTATTTTTGTAGAGACGAGGTCTTGTGATGTTGCCCAGGCTGGTCTTGAACTCCTGGGCTCAAGCGGTCCTCCCGCCTCGGCCTCCCAAAGTGCTGGCAGTGTTGCAAGTTTTGCTGTCCTGGGAGGCGGTCCTGTAAAGTGACCCAGACCACACATTTTCAGATGACCCCAACCTGGGTCACCATGGTCTCCCCACGTCCCTGGTCAGCAAGAGGAGTAGGGACAAGTCGCTGGCCGCTGCCCCCCAGGTGGGCCCCACAGGTGGGAGGCCGGAACCGTGTCAGCCACAAATACCAAGGGTCCTGGGGACCAAAACCTCCACGTGACCCCAGAGCTCAGGACAGCTGGGAGCCAGAAGCCTTCTGCGGGCTGCCTCTCTGGGCCTCAGTTTCCCCATCGGTAGCACAAAGACGGTAGACAGCGTCTAAATTCTTTCCGGGCCGTCTCGTAAGTCTGCCCAGACCCTCCGAATTCTGAATCCGGGGAGAATTTCATATTCTCCTAAGTCAGATCTTGTGCTGGCTTTTAAACGTGTTGACGAGACTTCCTGCCTGTGAAGGAATGCCGGGCTTGGCGCGGGGCTGGGCCAAGTATTGGTAGGACATCACTTGGATTCCAGCCAGGCAGATGCAGGAGAGGAATGTGTGTGCCTGTGTAGTCAGCAAAACCTCCCGGTCCAAAGGACACGCGGGGACGGGTGAGGACAGGAGTCAAGCGCTGCAGACCTGGCCCGGGGTGGGAGGGCGGGACCCCCGCCATGACCCTCACTCCCAGGCTTGCGATTCCCAGCTGAGCATGGCTGCTGTGTATTAGTCATTCTTCTCCGAGACACTTGGGTTCGTCCCAGGCTTCCCAGATCCTTAAATTCTGGGGGGGGGATGGGAGGACTTACTGTCCACTCGGCAGCCAGCAGACCAGCTGCTCCCTCTCCCTCAAATACTTGACTCAAGGCCGGCAAGATTCCCAGTGGGGAATTGCTCTCTCTCCCAGCGTGTCGCCCAGACACGGTGTCCCTGGCTGAGGACAGGGACTTTCCACAGAGCGGCAGCCGCCGGGCTGGGCGCTCACCATGGGATGCAGTGATAAAGCGCTTTTCTTCTGAAAATTAATTCCAGCTCAAAAGGAAATTGGATTTCTTCTCCTGTCGGTGAGAAGTCCTAGCGGTGGTGACGCCGCTTAGAATTCGATTAGCTCGGGACGGCGCGGTCTCATGCTCCGCACAGTAGATAAACCATGACATGCCCGTCAGAGGCCAGCTGGGTCGCAGCCACTGCCCAGAGGCCCGCTTTGCAAAGCCTGTGTGAATTTGCCGAGGCCTCAGGCTGACACGGGTCCTTTTTTTCGATGCAGCCGAGGAAGGCCAGTGGCCGCAGGCTGTGGTACACACGCCCTGCCACGAGCCAAGCTGGCT